TTATATTATACTGTATTTTTAATATTTTTATCCGTTCTTTTTCTAATGATGTTTTTTTATTGAAAACATTATCATGATAATCTTAAAAACTCGTAATGTCTACAGATATACACAACTAATAATTTTCTAAGCATTTTACGTTTCATATTTCTTAATAACAATACATCCAAGACGAAATAGAAACTTTTTTAGCCGCCTTCTATTTCTTCTTTCAAAATTTACAAATCAAATTCAAGATTGTAATCCTTGACCTAAATGTATATATCGGCTTATCTTTTGAAGTGCCTTTTTTACTATCTTTCTTGCGTCAATAACAGCAGTAAAAGTTTAATATTGCCATCGATTACTAATCTAGAGATGAAATAGGCGGCTTTATTTTATGACTTCTACACTCGTAAATATTGGCAATTTTTATTATCTAAAATATCATAATACGAAGAATGTATGTATTTCAGAACCATCGTTCGGTCTACAAGACGCAATCAAAGGTGCCTTTTGGGTAATCCAGCATGAATTACAGCAAGACGACCCCTTGCTTATTGGAAGGAATTTTGTAGAAATTTTAGGGTAATAAATCTTTATATTCCTTTTAAAAAAATGTTCGTGTTGCAAAAAATGTGTTTCACCATAATACTATGATAAAATATAAATAAGAAAATAAAAGCCTTTTCTATGAAAATTTTATTTTAGCACAACACTTACATAATTCACAATTTGCTTCGGACAGTGCGTTGCGTCGTGTTATTCAAGGTTAGGAGTTAGAGCACGATAACAGACTGAGCGGTTAATAGCTGTGTCGCATCTTCATTCTCTATCATCTCCTTTTTTCTCCTTGTTTCTTTAATGCCCTTACAAATGGACACGCATAAAACGCACGCTTTCCAACGGAATGTTATGGATTATTGAGGGATGGATAGATCTATTCACATATGTGCTATGTAGGTATGAGTTTCGTCCCATTTGGAACCCGAGCCGGCGGACCATCAATTTTTATGGGTGTATTCACATGAAGCATTGCATCGGTTAGCAAAAGAAGGTGTTGAGTTGCCGTGTTCCTTTAGTTTGTCTTCAGTTAATGCATACAGAAGATGGCAACGCAGCGAGTTAGTGAATTTCCAAAGAGATGTACGAAAAGTTTTCCCAACTGTAAGAAGAACAGGTCTTGGTGATATTGGCAACGGAACAAGATTCTATTTCGCTGCTCAATAAGTCAAACGAGGCTTTGTGAAATCCATTGACGATCAAATAACATTTATACGCACGCGTTCAAACGCGCACCAGCCGCTCCATGTGAAACGGCATTTACACGTCAACTATAGATAGCATCAAAGCGGCATAGCTTAGGGGTTTAAATTATTGCTTAGCATTCGGGAGGATGTTTTTCTGTGGTTCCTTGGATCACTTAGGCAAATGCTGGGGCAGTAATATTTCACAGACAATCTTTTATTCTCTTCTGTCTTCATTTCGTCCGTCTCATCTTTCTCACCCGGACCACCACCCACCCATTCCCACGATTCCTGAAAAAAGGCTGAAGAGGGCCTTCCATCCTACCTTCCGGCGTACTCCGGAGGGACTGCCCGCCCACCAGTATTAATGGCTGGTGGGAATGAAACACCCAAAAGTTTTAAGTTTTAGGTAGCATCAATTAAAGATTGAACAGCACGCGTTTCTCTCTCTCTCCCTACTCCCCGTAACGCATTTCCGTCGCAAGAAATTGTATTAGTTCCCCATTCCCATAATCAAGTGATAAGATATGTTACACAGTATGAATTTATTTACACTTTCCATAAGTCTAATATGGACTTTTAATATACATATTTAAATAATTAAAACTTTTGTTTACAATTATTTTAGACAAAAGGTCTTCATTGGATCAGCTTCCCTTTCCGGACAATCTTCCATATCTCTAGAAGACCTGACGGTCAACGAAGCCGTTGGAGACGCATTCGGTCTTCTGAGTATGAATAAATTGACGGCTACCATTAACGAAGTTGCAATCGACGCTTTCATTGTTAATTTCGGACTGAGGTTTACCGAGTAAGTTCATATTTATTACGAGTCGATATTTAATATATATGTAGAATTTAATTTGTACACGTACTCATGAACGGGTAATAGAAGTCATACTAGTGGATATCTATGCCTGTGCAAATAAATCGCAGTGATTTTGTTCGTCAACAGATTAACATTTAATTTAGGTATGTTTCTTATCACTGTTGTATGACTTTTCGTACCTTTCTGGTGTTTTCATTGGCACATCAACACAATACCAGATCTACAAGTGGCGAGATTAATTTGTACAAAATTTTTGAATTTGGATAAACGTAAATGAGGTTTTAGATAAATATTGTCAAACAAAGTTTTATTCTGGGTATCTACTCATCTTATAATTTGCTTGTTTATATTAGCTTTTATTTTTAATACTTGAACTTCTGTAACAAAATTACATCTTGACCCATTCCTTAAGTCAAATTTACACTATTTTTCAGAATTTCAGTAGATAATACCACAATCAGCTGGAGGTTCTCATACAACAATTCCACAAAACAGTTGACTTCTCTCAACGTTCTTCCACAATTTGGAACAATCACGGTATGTTCGTTTTTATTTTACAATTAGTATCGAAATAATGTATAAACAAATAACTGCAGATGATCTGGCGAACGCCATTTCTACAGAGAAGTTTGCCACTTATTATTAAATTCATTGTGTTTAACCTTTCGATTTGATGGTATCGTGTATCTAACAGAACATTAAGATCTTAGTTAGTGAACTGTCGAAATTGTACGACGTGGATTGCAATTTCGAACTCTTTAGTTTTCATCAGCACGCGGTGCCATACACACTTTGACAGGACATCGACTAATTTACTTACATAAAACAGCGTTCAATGAACAGCATGGTGAATTCCATCTTTATTGTTAGGCACGTTTTGAATCTCGCCTTTCTATTATTATTAAGCATATAACGTCAACGATAGCTCGCTCTAGAAGTCGACATTTTGAAAATTGAAGTGCAATTTCCAATAACTACGGAAACAGTAATTAGCTTTCATCAACTGCAGTGTCCGCAGGTATTAATTTATCCACTACAGTATAGTGACGTCACGTGCTCTCTTCAAGGTCAAAAATCCGTTTTGGTTCCGGCGGTTTTCAAAACGGTGTAGCACTCTCAAAAATGATTTTTCGAGACTAGGAAGAAAATTATAGTCATAGAGCCGTATCCACAGATTCCAAATATAGAAAAAAAAATTTCATGCCTCAACCCATTTCTTCTTTTACTGAAAAGAAAAATAAAGAATTTCCATGACGAAACGTTGTAGACCCTGTAAGCTGGTAAAATCTAAAAAATCTTAAAATAAATGCTTTACTTCAATTAAAAAAAAAATGCTCAGCTCTCTGACTTTCACCACACCAACTGTATTTGTTAATAAAATTAAATGCAATGTAACTAAAATTTATCGTTTTTTTTTTATGATAAGAAAATAAAAGCCTTTTCTATGAAAATTTTATTTTAGCACAACACTTACATAATTCACAATTTGCTTCGGACAGTGCGTTGCGTCGTGTTANCTATCCCAATATAATCTTAATCACCAACTAGATCAGCCCACGATCACTTTCTAAAAAAAAGACCAAATCCTTAAAATAATCCAACTGAAGATTTTCCCTTTATTTTGAAGCCACAAATTATTTCTCAGAAGTTCATAAAGTAAACTGGACGGCAACAAAAGATGCAAATGGTCAAAAGTCAGGGAAACTAAGTATTCTCAAATATTTGCTTAATTAATACTTATCAGTTATACATTAATTTGGGTTCTACGTTCTACGTACAGATGATTGTAAAGTAAGTAGGTTTATATTTGCAGCGTATCTTGAGCAGCTGAGATCTGGTGACAGAATATTCTTGAAATAGCCGACGATTAATACATCTAATAAAAAAATGAAACTAACTAAATGGCCTACCTTCGATGGTAATACGATGTTGTCATTTATCTAAGCGAAAAATTTTAATTGAAAATCTATTGATATGTTGTTTAGGACGTTTCCCTGTAATGCGAACGATCAAATTATGCAAGGATGTATTATGAATCGGAATTTCCATCTTCGATAATCAGAACTGTAATCCCATCACGCTCTTTGGTGGTTGTTAGCAAGAATTTTTACCAATAAAATACTCTTAAAGGTCTATTGCGTACTTCACTATAAATAAAGATTACGATTAAGATTTTCATTACGTAACTTTTTGTTATACTTATTAAATTATTACTGCTGGTGTTGCCTTCTTCTTTTTTATCTGCCAGAATTACCCAGCACTGCCCGTAACTCGGCGTCATTATCCGATACCCGGCCGAATCCTAAATAAGTGACGGATCCGCCGGGTTCCGAAACCAAACGGGATACCCGGCCCATCTCTAATCCATTTGATAGGGAAGTTAACGAAATAATAACAAAAATATTAGTAATAGTATATAGAAGTACTTATAGCTTCTAAATTACTGTGTAACTGTTTAATTTATTTTTCATATTTTTGGAAGCAACATGTCACATTTGAGTAGTTGGTAAAAAACAAAACATTATCTGATCGTTAGTATAGAAATTAATTCAATAGTAATTAGACTAATATCAAGCACCACGATAAAGTTACATTTCTCATGTCTAAAATTTGTTCCTAATTTATTACCAAATCTACAAAATTGTCGCTCTAATCAGCGGATACTGGAAAATATAACCTCATATCAATCTGGCACTACACATGGCGCTTCTCGAAATAGGAACGACATAAGTAATACTGTAAGGGCTATAATTTGTTGTTAATTATTCGATGAATGATGGAGAAGTAAATTTTAGGTAGGGAGACAGACAAGGATGCACAATGTCACCGCTGCTTTTTAATCTATACATAGACAACGCTATCAACATCTGTAGGGATAGATATAGAGAGGCAAACGATTAATATGCTTAGATTTGCAGATGACATAGCAGTATTAGCATCTAACAAGGAGTTAAATACAGCTTTCAATAAAATGGAAGAGGTATTGACAAAACAGTATTGTACAAAAATAGATAAAAGTAAAAGAAAAAATTCTGGTGTGCAAGGGAAGAAAATAGAAGGAAAAGTGAATATAAAGATAGAATACGAAAGATTAGAAGAAGTGGCTGATTTTAGGTATTTAGGAAGTCAGATAACTCAGGACGGAAGGAGTAGTAGGGATATACAGCAGAGGATAGTGCAGGGTCGAGTCGCCTTCAATAAAAAGAAGTCACTTCTATGCTTGTAAAAGGTTAATTTAGAAATCCGAAAATGGTTGTTAGAGGTGTATGTTTGGAGCATGGCGTTATACGGACGCGAAACATGGACAGTGGGCGTGGCGGAAAAGAAAAGGTTAGAAGCGTTCGAAATGTGGTGTTACAGGCGAATGACGAGGATACCGTGGATAGAGAAGGTTAGAAGTGAAGAGAAATTAGAAAGAATAGGAGAACAGAGGACTCTATGAAAGTCAATAAGAAATAGGCGAGATAGGCTATTAGGACACCTAGAGGCAGAACCGGAAGTTAAGAAGAGAGGTAGCCCTAGATAAGATTACTGTTCAGAAATAGTGAAGGATTAACTCAGGATAGGAAGGAGTGGAGATGCGTGCCCAACCGGCCTTAGGACTGACGACCTTACGATGATGATGTTGATAATGATGGTACTTTTACCCAAGTTGCCGCTAATTTATATATTAGCTGTCCAGCGAGAAACGATTGGAGAATCGTCAAATAGGTACTACACATGGCGCATCTCAAAACAGAAATGGCGTAGGAAAATACCATACTCCATACGTATCCAGCCTCGAGTTGATTACCAAAAAACCATTGGAAAATACAGACAAATTGTTTCCGTAGTGTTTCTAAACTCCGCACCATCAAAAGTGGCTGATGAAGCAATAGAAGTTCCAGAAGATTTATAGGCTAATCTGGTCGAAAGGCTAAAATCCACACGACGGCCAAAATTTTATTTAGTAACAATGTTGAGGGACAATAACCCTTATTGAGCTTACCTTATCTATAACTGAAAATCAACAAAAATGTTGTACTACCTGCGCATATCCCATATTTCGGTGAAACAGACTAGAGAAATTCGTTTGAAAACACCCTTCTGAAAGTCTTTAAATTACTTTAAACTTTGTAGGCACAGGTAAATAACGGAATATAAAACGTGTTTCATTTGAATGGTGCCATAAACTTATAATTACACTTAAGTACGATTAAAGGCAGTCTATTGTTGGCAGTTTTATTGCATAGGGCGCCACTTCACATGACTTAGAGTTTATTTCGATTTCCAGTAACCGGCTGGAGCGGCAGATTATTTTATTTATTTAATTATCATTTTAAAAATACAAAATATATGTACATTTAACGTGCTATGTCTTTTTCGGATTATTCCTGTGCGAAATGACATCAAAATTACAAAAAAAAGAAATGCGTCCGAGGTATGTTAAACGTTATAGCAGAACGAAGGAATGAAGGAAATGGCTCAAGTCGGATATTCCGAAAATCAATTGCTAATCAAATAATTAAAATAATACGAATAAAATAATTCGAAATAATCTGTATTCTGTCGAAACGGCCAGACGCGGAAGATCGCGATTTCGATCTTTTTGGATCTCATCAGCGCGTCTGGCAGTTTCGACAGAATACAGACCACTTCGAATTATTTTATTCTATTATTATGGTAATGTGCCTATCACGTTGAGGTTAGCTACACCGGGATTCGTTTTCAGCGAGTAGATATCCACACAAGTGGACCTTGTTGGAGCATACGTAATCCTAAAATGTAGCATCGTGCTACAGGTGGCGTTTACTGCGCCATTTGTAGTATTTTCTAAATCAAATAATTGTCATATGTTTATTTTACGCCTGATGATAATAGATAATTTAAAGGATTTTCTGTCTTCTTGGAGATTAACAGTCTATCCGTAGTAAAATATTACTCGAAAATTTCAAAATTCTTCGATTTTGTTTTATCAAATTGTTAATTTAGTGGAGATTTTAGTTTCAGGCAGTTGTAATCTCAGATTGGTGAAGTACGTTGTAATAAACCCAAGGGCCACTTCACTTCTTTATTACAAATGCAAAAATTGTTTATTTACTTGTGTCTTCATTACATTTTACAATAAACAAAATTTTTAATTACCAATTTCCACGTTAAATTTCAATTTTTTTATAACGCAAAAGGAGCTTTCGTATCAGCAACATTCACAGAAACAATGTTTCTAATTTTTTAGTAATAAAATTTGTTTATAATTGGTAATAAAAAATGCCACTTACTTGGAAAACGGAAAAAAAATTGGTAAACATAAAAATTGCAATCTCTGAGTTGGAACTGCGTAGATGTCAAGTGATCCTTGAGTAGATTGTAACACACTTACCAATGTGAGACTGTTTAAAAAAAAAATACAGTTGCCTAAAACCGACACCACACCTTTGCTAAATTAACTATTCAGTAAATCAAAAATTATAATTCGGAGAGAGCTGAAATCTTGAGATAAGACTTGTAAAGGAGTAGATTACTGATTTGCGAGACTACAACCTTTTATATTCACGGCTTCATAATAA